GTTCCACCCTTCGTTTTTCTTGAATTTTACAAAAAATGATTATGAAAGCAATCATTTTTCAGTTGATGTTTCAGACTGTGCTGAGGTACTTTGTAGTCTATCCACCTATTTAATAACACAGAAATGCAGCTTATAACGCACGAATTCGAGATTGAGAAATGTTTCACGACATCTAATCCATTCAGATTCCGGCTATTTCTGGTTTCTGGATCCTTTCACTCATGCTTCAGCTGCCAATCGTTCTGTTCATGCTATTGAATCCGGCGATCATTCCGCTTCCTCTCGAAATAGTAGTACTTGTGATTCATCTAATATTTCTCATTATTGAGGTAAGTTTCTTCGTTTTATGATTACGAGTACAGTCATCTATCATATGTAAATTCGCTTGTCGTCGAGTTATTCAAACACCGACCATCAACTACAAGTTTGCTTCTCTCGTTCAGAGTACGCTAATCACATCGCACCCCTCAGGGGACCCTCTATTTCAACACATTCGATCAGTTAAAATTATTTGTGTCTCAATGTGGCCAAAAAATCTCTTTCAATCCGCGTTCAAAATAGTGATCACCTCTTGGCTATGCGTAGCCTTTTACTTGACCGATTCAGTGTTCATATTTTTAGGAAAGCCTGTAAACGCTTGAATACTACGATGACCAACAGTCATATAGAATACCAGACTTCACAGCGTTTTCTATTTAACTGATGCTTGGCAATCTTTTACTTTCCGGGCTTCCGAGAAATCCGTAACAGGTTGTTCCCAGACCATCATCACAAGCAGTTGCCGATTATTGTAAACCAGAAAGATGTTTTCCGACTAGGAACCAAAATTTACCACGAACCATTCATTGATAAAATCAGGTACTGCAGATGTCGCATCTCGTTGCATGTTGGAGCGTTTCTGTGAAGTCTATCATCTGTGTCATCTGTGTCATCTGTTGTCCTGCTGTTCGTCAAGTAACTCGAACGTGTAGCAGCAAAACTTTTATTTTTTCCTATCGCGTTTAATGATAGCCCAGTAGGTCCTGTTCGTTGCAGGGATTCGTTGAACATTATGTATTTCTTCCAGGCTTTTCGTGAAGAAATTGGACCATTAGCTCGGTGGTCTTCCAGTTGGCGTTTGACAACGCGACGAATCCAATCGGTAAGCGCTCTCGTCCATCGGATGTCGCCAGAATGCATTATGTGTTCGGCTTACGTAGTCAACGATATCTTACATTCTCGATGCCCATAAACCCTTCCGAGTGGCTCGCTTCCCTCCTGCTCAACTTCGGAACTTTGAAACTGAGTTGTTCATCATATTGGCTACCCGACCTAGATAGACGTAATTGGAGTATTAAGAGAAATCCGCTCCGTTGAGCGTAAGTGGGGCTTCCATGAACAATCCGTTCCTCATCAGCATTATTTTCATGCAAGTTAGCCGAATACCAATCGTTCTACATACAATGTCGAAATCGGCCAACATTATTTCCGTCTAACTGATGCTTGATGTTATAAAAACGATGTCAGCAGCAAAGCGAAGACAGTGTAATTCTACCATCGAATTTCACTCCCTTGTTGTGGCGTTCTAATGTTGCCATGATATTCTGGAAGGTGGCAGTGAATGATTTTGGCGAAATGGTACTGCCTTATCAAACTCCTCTTCCTACGGCAAAAGTAATATCGCTGTAAATCGGTATTATCTTGATTATGAAATCTTCACGAAGCTCACGAAGAATCCTCATGTGCTGAATAAGGAGACCTTAGCTGTCCTATGCTTCCATGACTGTTCCTGTTTCAGCTAAACCAAAGGCCTTCAAATCGATGAAAATGAAACAGAGCGGTGTCTTGTACTCTCGCGAAACTTCAATGAGTTTTGTTAGGTTTATCTCGATCGTGAATTCAGCGCAATGAATTTCTTATTTCTATAATCGAGCAGAAAAAAGCAAACCTAGTGAACAGCATGAGCAACTAGAATGCCTCTTCTGAACTTCCCGATTCATCCCACCTCATCACAAGCTTTAGAAACTTAGAAATCTAAGTAGCATGTGACTAGGACAGGAATGTTTTCGAGTTCCATATGAGATGATCGATAGTAAAAGCATTCTATTTATCTAGAACGAAAGAGAAAATGTAGACTGTCATAATAAGCTAATGATCGAAAATCAAGGGCGTTTCCACATTTGCTATAATGCTGGAAATCAAGGAATCAGCAAAAATGTGAAAGATGAATAGTAGGGGCCGGACAGGAGCCGCAGACGATTGCTTTCCACCGAATATCACGTACATGAAGAGGACGGCACATTCAATATCCAAACATTCAGAAAACTTTGAGAAGAATATGCTCTCCATGATCTTCAAGAGACGAATCATTGGATATCCAAGGCTCACATGATCGTACGAGCGAAAATGTCACTGATACTCGCTCAAGCTCTACATTGGACTGTAGAGGAGGGAGAAACCAATCAGTGCTCAAAGCCTACGGTTTGACATATAGATCAAGTCAGTGAGTGCGGAGTTGTACTTCGATCGACTCTTAATATGGATTATGAAAAAAAAGGGGAATTCGAAGGACAACGCGGTATAATCAAAAATACGCTCCAGATGAAGAATTTGGAGAAAGTTATCCAGGAAATGAGAACGAAGACTATGGCAGCCCAACTGTCATATCAAGAAACGGTAGAAAGGTAGCCCAAAGAGTGATCAGCCGATAGCTTAATAAAACAAACGACTTAAAATATTGTTGAAGTCGACAAATAAACGCTTCTCGTTTGACCTTGTCATTCGGATATATTTTTCAGAAACATGAAATATGTTTCCCAAGAAAAACGTACAGAATTCCTTTGAGTCCACGTTTTGATTACACTTGAGTTATCCTCTAGCTCATAGTGTCTCTGGGACATTAATTAGAGCATTTAAATCAACCATCGAGTCCCAAAAAGAATTAGGGACGTTGTGGTTTGCAGTATAGAACTACTAATTTATCTACGACTAAGAAATTAGGCTTGTCACTCTAGCAGATCACCATTAGATTTAGTAAATTTAGCCTCACTGCCTTTGTTACTTCTCTAACGATCATGAAGAGTAAATCACACGAAATGAAGTAGTAATTGTAAGGACTGCAGATGATGTTTAAAGAAAAATGCATGCTGCAATGTTTTCATAGGAGACACTTTGTTGGTTCGAGCCAGAACGTCAGTACTTAAGTAGGCCTGAGTACGCTCCTAAACACGATCACAATCCTTCTTTGGACTTAGCAAGAACAACCTCTTATCGACTCAATCTGAAACAGTTCGTTTCAATTATTATCTACTATTCATTGTTACATGTCCCACATCATTAGACTACCGACCATGTGCGATTCTCAACTATGGCCTTCGAACGTTTTTTGCGTGTTCTGGTTGCTTTTTGAAGATTTGCATCTTTATTACCAACGCCGTTGGATGACAGACGAGTCGATTCTCTATAGAATTATGAGATTACCGTTCTAGGGTGTTCACACGTGTATTAGAAGTGCGCTTAAATGGGACAAGTACAATAGCAATTTCCCTATCCCGAAGAGACGAGAAGCTTAGTGCACACGGGACGGTGTCGCGCTAGTGCTTGGGTAGGTTGAGCAGTGCGTGTAATAAGAAGTACCAATGCCTTTTCGGACGATGAAGTGTACAGAATAGTTTTTCTCGTACTATGAGTGACACATTATAAATGCTAGTGCAGCTACAAGAACGTTGCAAAGCAAATGAATGTGTGACAAAATAACAGTAAGGAGAACGAATTGGGGTCGATGCGCACTGCCGCAGATTTTAAAAGCAGCACTAATTCGATTATTTTGCATCATCAATTTGCTGCGTTTATCGAATAGCGTCAATAGGTGACGTAAACAACGTGTACGTCAGAAACTGGTTGAAATCGAACTTTACCATTTTATTTGCGCTAATTATGTTACTATCTCTGATGCCTTCAAGCAGTTCTTATTATTGCCGACAAGTTTTCGAAGAAAAGAACTTTCAATTCTTTCTATGCCTAGTATCTTCACTCTCATGTTGTTTTATTAGTCCCTTGAGACGGCGTGCATCTATTTGAATGCACGCATACTCCATTACTTTCTTGCTGCACAGAGCTCCTCCATAAGACTTTTGAAAGTCCTCCGGTAGCTTTTAAAACGATCATTTAAGTAGTGTACTTAGTTTCAAAAATATTTGATGATAAGCAAAATTTTGAGCCTCCGATATTGATAATACCTGCATTTCATCCTTTCCGGGGCGCGTGCTAACCTAATGCATAACTGTGGCTCCTGTTCTGATATATTCTTCTTTTCATTTGAAAAAAAGTTCTATTAGTGTACTAAATTGTTGAAAAGGTTTTCTTACACTATAGGGGTGTAAATATCAGGTCATTTCAAAAGTTTTGGCACTAAAGCAATGAACACCAAATTTATTAACCGGCAGTAATTGAGATTGTATCATTTTGGTATCCTTCAATTGCGCATTTTCATGTGAACATTTTGATGCAGTGCAACTTGCCCACACTTGCTTGAAGCTGGAGCAGCTTCGAGGATAAAATTGCCTGCTACTGACGGACGAATGGCGCGTAGAGCAAAATGCTAATGAAGCGGCGCGAAAGATTTTTCTGGCTTGGGCGATGATACGGTTGCAGGAGGGCTAGGAAAAGGTTCGCAAAGTTCAAAGCTGGAGAGAAGAATCTGGAGGATCAGTCGCGCTCGAACCGTCCACAGGAAACTCCATTGCTCTTGCGCTCCATTTCACTAGCACTTTTTCCTACATGCCATTCGCGCATGAGTAGCAAACGAATTCGTTCCCACGACAGCTCTGTCTTATAGCAAGTATAGGTAAGTTATATATCAAAATGCTCGCAAGAAAATGCGCAGATGAACGACACAAAATCATGTAAATCGTACAATTTTAGTCACTTCTGGTTGATAAATTTGGTGTTTATTGCTCAAATGCCAAAACTTATGGACCTAATAATAATACCTTAGAGAATTGAGTGGTGAGCAAAAGCACGGCCTCAGGCGGTAATAGAACCCGCGTTTCATCCATACCGGGGACGCGGGCTCTACCACTGCACCATCCAGGCACATTTACACCACCACACATTCTTCATCATCTCTGTGTTAGCTATCAGCCACCAACCTCTAACAGGTTTGATCGTGTACGCGATTTCGCTTTGAAATCGCAGTTGAGCTGACAGCCATTGTAATAACTAATACTCGAAATTTCTCGTAATTTAACTGCATTTTTCCGCTAAATAGGTATATACAAAACATCACAACACTGCGAAAAATGCAGTTAAAACACCAGAAATGAATAATAATAATAATAGATTTTCACATTGAACGCGCGTCTTCACCCAATTAAGATCTGCGGAACGCTTCTCATTCACTTTTGATAGCCATTCAATAGCACAAATTTCGGTAGTTCTGAAACTAAATCTTATCTTTAAAAGGTCCTCATAAGCTGCTGTAAAAACTAAAAGTAGGTCACGTTTCTCATTTCTAGTAGTTAGCCCGTTGCTTGAACTTCGTAGCGGGTTTACTTTGCAGCATAATATGGAAATAAGTGTGCTATTACCGACAGAATGATAGAGCAAAGCCACTTCCAAGTCATTACGAGTAAACTGAGTGTTTTTGAAGCAGAGATAAAATCCCTAATGACGTAAATCGCCCTTTTCGGCGTGGCAGTTGAGAACGCCGTGCGCAGTGCTATTCGAGAAACCCGCCATTTTCGATATTTATCTAGAAATTTTTTTGTTCCAAAATAATTTGGAAATTTTTTCGTTCCGATGCTGTTCGATTTTCCTACACGATCATAAGCTTCTGGTGCGTATATTTTCAGGTGCTGAAATTCATATTTTTTCGCTGTATGAAAACCTTTCAAGAAAACCAAATTTCAAAATCAACGTTTTTTAAGTTACTGAAAGTACTGAAACTCCTAAAAAGCCATTCGCAAACCCGAGTCGAGCAAAAAAGCGCGCCAAAACTAAACGCAATCATCTCTCGGCTGTCAAAGCGCATGAGAAAGGCTATTTTACGAACTGGATACAGTTTTGAAATTGCCGAGATTTAAGCTATTGAATGACTACTAAAGTTATGAAAAAAATGACATAGGTTCGTCCCCAAAGGGTTAAACGTGCTACATATGATTTACACTCATTCAATATACCACGTAGATACCTAAATGATAAGAAATGAAGAGTTTGGCGTTGGTTAATCCCTGAAGGATGCACCAACTATTCGACTTCATTTGCAGAATCGTAATGGTGATTACATACATAACTGGTCTGTATGGTGACTTGTGAGGGCCTACCGATCTATCACAACAGCGCTCTTTCCCTCATTGGTACCAATTTGTGAACCCTCGAGAGACTGCAGGCTCAATGAACGCGGTTACGAGGTCGAACCAATGACCATGTGCAAATAGCGGCGCTTCTCTAACTACTATTCCAAGGTTCTTTCATATAAGTTTGAGTAAGGGAATAAACGCTACACTGTTAGATAATACTATCACTGTCTCGATTGTAAATTCCCATTTAGATCATCACCGGCTTCCTCGCCATGAAGGTGATGTCGACACAGCAAATCAAATTATTCAAGATGCTTATTGAAGAAAGTGGGAAGTAAATATGTTCGTATCGTTGGGAGGTTCTTCACTTCATCATCATTACACTGCTCTTCGAATTACTAATATTAATAACAAAATCCGAAAAAAATTAAAACGACACAGAAAAAAGAACGAAACACTTTAGAAAAGGCAACAACGAAGGCTAAAGAAAGTAGTAAGTGAATAATTAACAGATTCGCTATCAAACCGTGTTCGGAATGTGATAAATCCTGAGCACACAAAATATTATCTACATTGCTCAATACGGAAAGCGAGTAATCGAAGTGAATAACTCCGGCTGAGATATATTGCCATAAAGCCGTAATTATAATTATGCAAGCAATGTTACTTAAAATAACTTAAAATAACAGCAAAAATCTACAACTAACATATCTGGTAGAAATCACAATCACAACCTAACCGTGGAAAATCGCGCGGAAAAATAACTAATCGATGGACTTAGTCCTCTTCATTCTAAACACTTCGGCAATGGTCAAGTAAATAAACCAGTCATCAATAGTGAACGCATCAAACAAAATTATTGCAAACTGCCACTTTTACAGAAATTATCGTAAATCGGAGTGATGGAAATCTAATGTATCGTCATCTCACAAGTTTGTTAGTGATGATCACTCTGATGAGACGACTAGTCGTCACTTGCCTACACAGGATGAATACATGACAGGTGCGCAAAGGATAGTAGTCCCATCCGAAGAGGGCAACATGACCAAGTAGAAGATCTCAGTACGGAAGACCATTCCCCACCAACAAATTGTAAGGTTATTGATACAGTAGCCACGCTCATCATCCCATCATGCATTTCTTTTTGAAAAGGAGGGACGCAATTGCATCTACCGATTTACGTTTTCTCTGAAAAAAGGAAATTAATAAAGGTCACCGGTTCGTTATAAAATCTATAATATTCAGTTTATAATACTACATATTCGTGTTCAGCTCATCGAAATGCCCCAAATTAGTTTGAGAATTCAAAAATCAAACGCAAAGCACTTACTGTAGATGGAGGTGCAACGTCATTGGCGATAGGACTGCTTTCCTTCGAACTATTCGTATGTGAAGAATCAGTCTCGATCACCTGTAATACATGGCTGAAACTTTTACGTGTTAAGTTACGATAGGCTGAAAAGTGGCTTCGTATTCTTCAGTAAAAGTGTTGCAGAATTTTTATCTGGTGCGTTTACACTCCAAATCAGGAAGGATACAGAAAGATACCAAAACAAAACGCAGGAAAATCCGCAATAATATTGAACTCAAACTTATAAGTTCTGCCAATTTGCTTCACATAGTGATAATATTGCTCCCAGATTGAAATTTTGATCCATTCCCATTTCATATCTAATCATAAAAACAAGTGAAACGGACCTCTTCGCCAGAAGCGATGCCAGATTCGGGTCCACTCAATACAACATCGTTTTCTGTTTTCACATTTAACTCGGAAAACTCGATGTTTTTGTTGTTATTGTTATTGTTGTTGTTGTTGTTGTTGTTGTTTATGACACTTCTCTGGTTATTCGGTTTTTCGTCAATCGATGTCGATGGTGTCATCTGAAGTATTACATTTTTCATGCAAAACAACACAAATCACTCAACAATAAAAACCAAGTAACAATGTAGAAAAAGGAAGCTGACCGCTTCAAATAATCAAGATATTCAGATTGTGGAAATTATGAAATTTTCATGAACAAAAACAATTTTGCATGATCTCTCTTTCAGGAATTGAAACTATCATGTGGATCACAAGAAAGCGGAACTACATGTAACCAATCCTCCCTCTTTTAGTAGTATGTCTCCTGCCATAGTTTTGACAAGATCGGAAAAATGAGAAAAAAAAAGGTCACACAAATTCTCAGCCTCTATCACTCAGATGTATACCGCTGTAAATTCTTAAGATAGCTTACGACCTCAACATTTATAACCCTAGTTTTTGTCCAATAAGATACCTTAGCTAAGAACCCAGACTGTTGAATATGAACAGTAAGTAGAGCATCATAGTAGAATTACAACTACCTCAGGTAAGTAAGTAAGAGAACAACGAGCGTTCAGCGCACTTTACTCCAACTCTTCTGTGTTTATGATGAGGTGGCACGAAATTTTAAGATTTCTCAATTTGATAATGTTTCGGCGGTATCGCCTTCATCAGAGCCACGATGATATGAGTTGTGTCTACAACAGCTTCACGAGTAGTTGACTCTCGCAGCAGTCAAATAAAGACAGATTTAACTGAGTGGATCACTGCACGAGTCACTACTGGTACTAAAATCAAGACCGAAAAACACCTGCTGTGGACTCTCGACTCGAATTCACCATGGCTCTGGTGAAGACGATACAGCCGAAACAACAGCCATAGTAAAGAATCATAGAAAACCTCCTCTCAGCTCATATTAGACACAGAAAATTGATCATTCACACAGAGGTTCAAAAATAGTCGTATTTCAAGGTCTACCAATGTTCGCTGGACCTTGTCACTGCGTGATCAGCGCAAGCAAACAGCAAACAATGGAAAGTCTCTGTTAAAAAAATTTTTAACGATCATAGCACCATGAAAGTGAATAGAGAAAAGTGTAGTTTCAAATTCCGATAGGAAAACAAAACAAGAATTATTACAACAATAGCAGCAGGTCAGTCACGTCATGTTCTCAGAAAGGTGGATTGTAGCGACAACCGGTTTGAATTCTAAGAAATATTTCATGAACATCTAATCTTTCGTTCAAGAAAAAAGCTGACTCTCCATGGAAATTATGACAGAGATTGACGTTCACCATATGCTTTAGACTGAAGGAATTTACTGAGTGACTTAACCGAGATAATAAGCATTATACGACGAAAAAAAAGCCAGTCTCAATTTTCAGAGTGAACTCCAACTATTCTAATTTTCTACTACGAATAAAAACTTATAACGCTTCCTACGAGTCATATTCCAAGCGGCAAGCGAGAAACGATTATCACTTAGTCCCAACCCTGGTTGCTTTATCTATTCAAATTCTCACCAAAAATTCAGCCCATCACGGCTGATAATTTTGCAGGAAAGCAAACTAAGCTGGCCGCAAAAATGGCAAACCTTCCTTTACCCACAAGGGTCACTAAAATCTCATGATTTGAATGGCCTTCTAAGAATTCCTATTCCTTAAGAGTGAGAATATATGGAAATTGAGATAAAGTTTTCGTGATTTTCACATTGATTGTACGCGCATGCAGCCACTTTTTTTTCTCAAGCACTCAACAGATTTTCGAATTTCAGGGCTAAATCCAATTCCTACTCACTCCTTCTTCTACATCATCAAGTAAAATTAGGAGCGCTTCAAAGAGAGTGAAAGTATTCATTACTCCTAAAAAAGATTAGTCATACTCACAAACCCATAGAACGGGGTAAAGTATAATTTCAAAAGACCGCAGATTTTCGCAATCAACACGTGGCATCAATTGAAAGCATCGAAAAATAGATTCTCTTGTTTAGAGAAT